AAAGACGCTCGGCATCTGCACTTATACTAACTGGCGTGGCTAAATCCATAAAACATTTAAAAAAAATTTTGGTCAATTTTAGTGGCCTTGCGTTGAAATTGTCGAAGATATGGCCAAGTTCATTACATTTTTATTTTATACTTCCCAAAACTCAATCCGGTTTTAGAAAAAATTATAATACATCTGCCCTAGTCAATCTGCAAGACAATATTTTAAGTGCCTTAGATAAGAAAATGGCACTAGCGTTAATCTCTATAGACTATTCGAAAGACTTTGACACCATCAATAATAAATTATTACTTGCTAAATTAAATTACATAGGTCGTGACAGTGTATCCCTTTGATTTTTCGACAGTTACGTTCATCAAAGAACTCAGTGTGTTTTTCTCAACCAAGAAATGTCTCAAGTGACAATAATTCCCTCAGGCATACCTCAGGGCTCTGTATTGGGGCCGCTGCTGTTCCTCATATATACGCTCGACTTCAGCAAAAGTATTGATTATTCTCATGTCCAGTCATTTGCAGACGATACGCAGTTGCTGCGTAATTTTTTTGGCCCAGATAATGTCATCTATACTACTTAAATTGTACAAAACGATGTTAGTAAATTAATTAAATACTCTTTCGATCACAATCTACGTATTAATCCACAAAAATCTACAATGTTATTATTTTGCACACAAAGAAAAACATACAATGTAACACAGCTCTTAAACATTCACATAAATAACCAAATCTTGCAATTTTCCGATTCTGCAAAAATTCTTGGTGTTGTTTTTGATACAAAATTAAGGTTTAATGAACATGTTAAAAGTCATTCCCAGAAAACCTGCCTACGGCTGCGTACTCTCATAGCAAACAGGTATTTAATAAATTTTAAGTTGCGTAAAAAAACTATGTGAAGCATTGGTCATGTCTATACTAAATTATTGTAATATCGTATACTATACTTGTTTAGACAATTCGACTAAAAACGTTATTCAACTTATTCAAAACAATTGTATGCGTTTCATCTTTGGCTTACGTAAATTTGATCATGTATCAGCGAAATATTCTGTTCTAAACTGGTTAAAAATTAATGGCATGGTCAAGTATCACTATTCAGCTTTTGTTCACAAATTGCTGCTCACGTCTAAATCCTCTTACTTGAGGGAAAATATTCATTTAATAATGATGTTCACTGTAGAACTCTCAGAGAAAATAATATTAGAATACCCCAGCTGCGCCAGCATACGTCTACACTTTTTAAACGCAGTTTTTCTTACAATGTTGCTATTATTTATAATGACCTTCCTGAAGAATTTAAAGAATTTTCATTACCTGTCTTCCGACAAAAAGTTAAAACATTATTACTCAACCCTCCAAACATATAATTTACGTAATCATTCATTTCTTTTTTTTCTGTCTTTAATTCAGGCTAATAATTTTTTTGTGTAATTGGGTTTGGAAAGTATGCCTTTTTCTTTTTTTAATTTTTACTTTTGATGTAATGAACCAAATCTGTTTGTGTATAGTGTATACTTTTGGACATCTGCTAGCAACTATATGGTTATGTGTAAGAGTAGCAGCATGCTAAACTTCGCCATGTAAGTCTGATATCTGGCTATACTACAATGTAATTGTGGATAAATAAAGACGTTTATTATTATTATTATTATTGTTTAATTGCAAACTACTAAACTTGTGTTGTTCATAATACTTTAGAACCTATTGCTCGCGAACTTCTTTGTTCTTTGGTCCATTGCAGAAATGCCAATTTGGAACGTCTTTGCTTTTCTTGTTGCTGTTGCTTGAACCGTCCACCACTGTACAGTACAATACAGTTAAATGTTTAATTCACTGTTTTTCAATTAGATTTCACACAAACGCTTATTTGACACACACGGCATAGCAAACTAACAAAAATAGTGATAAATTACATGCTAATGCGCCAAATAAACGTTAATACATCTGCGTTCACGTCACGTAACTATATCTTGTTCAAACCTGCACTAGCTAGAACCGATCCTTTATTTAGGCCTCGAATCCACGTTATGTGTAAGTTCTGATAATTAATTAGTCATAATGTACATGCGTAAGCTAAACCTAATCTAATTTTTTACCACTGTGCTTCACACGTTCACCTCCGGCATCTCTACTAAGAGCCTTGTGTGCCACGTGTATTTTCAAAAAATCTTGTATGAAGGAGTCTGGGTTGTCTGTTTTGAATTTTAATGCACCAAAACAAAAACGTCATTCAAATGAAAAGAACGCGCTTCACGGGTCGGCGACATATAGCATGCGAGTTTGGCCGTATACCGCCAACGCACCTCGCGCGATTCACTTGAAATGTTTTTTTATTTTTTTATTGCAATGTCAATAATATTTGAAATACAAAACATGTAACATTTGCAAACAATTCCTGATATTTTATTGTAATTTTTGCTTTTTATACAAAAATAAAACATAATATACAAAAAATAATAGACAAAAGTGGAAACAGTATTTCTAAGACTAGCCACATTCATGATAATTCCTGACGTTTACCTTTACCAGAATAGAAACTGTTTGCTTTAGTGAATAAATAAGATTGAACGCGCCTGGCGCGGCGTTGAAAGTGTATTCTTTGTTATTTTCACTTGATTGTCTTATAAATGAGGTAACTGCTGGACAGTAGAGCTATAATTATATAAAACTGAACGTTTGACACCCTTCTCTGTTGAATTTTGTCACCAGGCGACCTCACCCGTGCGAAAAAATACACTGATCGCATGCACGTGGGTTTATCTTATCAAGTAATTCTTTCATGATCTACCACCTCATAGTACCTATCCCCTTTCCAAATCATTCAACCACCGCCACTGTATCCATGTCTACCTCTTGCTTCTGCGATAGTCCTATTCAGCAGGCACCAGCGTTGCCGCTCGCGCGATCCGCTGGCGTCATGAATCGTGGATGGCCAGGCATTTTTGGCCTGAGCAAAATCTGCCGTAAGGCGGGTGGTGCGGCGGTTGACAGATAGTGGCCCTGCCATAAAAGATTAGTGGGTTTTTCCAATGCATCTTGGTCTCGCACGTAACGGGCAGGATATTGTAACGATTCTTAGAAAAAGAAATGAGGGACAGTCAGAGCAGCAACAATTGCCCGCGGTTTTCCTCCTTGATGCTTGCTTCCCCTATATCCATGATACTATTAACTTGGGAAAATATCCTCACTTTGCCTTCGAATTTTATACTACCGACGCATGGCGTCACTCGTTGACAAATGTTTCGCTCCTCGGTATAAAATGCATACATTGCATACATGCATACATGCATTCCCTTTCAATATTTGGAATATTTGCCAAATATTTTTTTGTGTTATAAATTTTACATGTTAATTTTGGTATTATGTAGAATGTTAATATTTTGATGTTTGGCCAATACAATTTAATGAAATATATCATTAGGTGTATATATATATATACAGCTATAAAACAGGGCCTTTAGGCCCTGAACTTGATCAGTTTATTCCACCTCTTCTTGTCTAGTGTTCGTTTCTTCTAGTCTCTGATATTCCTACTCCTCAAATCTTCCATAACCCCATCCGTCCATCTTCCTCTCGGTCTCCCTCTTTTCTTCTTGGTATCAGGAACTCTCCATGCTATATGCTTCACTGTTTTTTTGCGGCATTCTTTGGTGCCCCAGCCACTGCAATCTTCTGGTCCTAGCTACTTCCATTATGTTTGGTTCATTATATAGATGATAGATTTCAGCATTAGACCTGCTAACACACCCTCCCTCCACCTTGATCTCTCCATATATTTTCCTATCCCACCTAAGTAATGTTTGTTCAAGTTTTTTATTAATTATCCAAGTTTATACCCCAATCCAAAAGGTTGGCTTGATGATCGTATTGTATATAGCCTTATTTTGGAGACTCTAGATACATTTCTTGACTTAATATTTCTGTTAAGCATTCCCGCACATTTATTGGCCGATTTTGTAGTTTACTTCTGTTTCCTCATTTATTTTATTACTAATTAGACATCCTAAATAGACAAACTTATCGACCTCCTCAAAAATTTTTTTTCCAGTGCTTACCGTTATTTCTAGCCTCGTTTCCGTCTGAAAGGTCCCTATTCTCATAAATTTACTTTTTTCCTCGTTTACCTTCAATCCCATTTTTGCTGCAACTTGCATAAACTGCTCTACCACTTTTTCCATTGTCCTTTTATCTCTAGCTATTATGGCGACATCATCAGCATAGGCAGTTAGTTGGTGACTTTTAAATAATATAGTTCCTGATCTATTCAGCTGACTTTCAATAATGATTCTTTCTAGGATCATATTAAATAAAAGTGTAGATAATGGGTCCCCCTGTCTGAGTCTTGTATTAATCTCGAACTCTTCTGTCAATTCTCCTCTTATCTTGACCATACTTCTTGTTTGTCTCATCGTCATTCTTGTAACATAAGGTTTATGAGTTTTCCAGGGATACCAAAATAATTCATTGTATGATTGCTGGTATTTTATATTCGTAGCAGCTGGTAAGAGCTTCTTTCGTGAAAAAATTTGATCAGTTGTCGATCTTCCCTTGCGAAACAAAGCTTGATAATCTCCCAACTGTGATCTATAATTTTCTCTAGTCTCATTTTAAGCAACGTTGTTAAAATTTTATATACTACATCCAATAGCGAGATTTCTCTGTAGCTATTACAATCGGTCGCCTCACCCTTTTTCAGTGATGGGGTAATAAGTGCTAGTTCCCAGTCACTGGGCATTTCTTCTTCTCTCCACATTTTTAAGCTTCGTGTCCACTAGCAAATAAACTTGCTAGAGTTAATCTCACAAGTCACTTGCGTAGCGTGTGCACGACGTCATTAGAGAAATATTGCTGCAAAATTACTTGCACATGAGGCGCTTGCGACTTGCTGAGAGCTTGTAGTGTACACACCTCTCTCAGGAAATTAGTTTGCTTAAAATAATTTTGAGACTGTTTCGAAAGTTTTGCAGCAAGAGGAACAGTGTTGTAAATAAAATATGGAGAAGTTCAACTGGACAAGAGAAGACACGTGTCTATTAATTGAAAATTTTGAATTTTATCCTGAATTATGGAAGGTACATACTACAGAATTTAATGACAGAATTAAAAAGCAAAATGCATTACAAAAATTGGCCGATTTATTTAATACGTCTACAGCGGAAATTCATAATTTGAGAACGCAAGTTAACCAAGAGTGGAGAAAAATTCAAAAAAAGAAAAGTGGACAAGGGACTAATGAAATATATAAGAGTGCTTAAGAGTTCTTTGACTCATTAAAGTTTATAATTGACGCAAATATACAGAATACTACGGAAGATAATCTGGTAAGTTAAACTTAAATTTTATTAGCACGTTTATTATTGCAATTCAAACACAAAAAACACTTAAATATTAAGACACAGTTATTTTTTATTATAAGTAAGGTATGCTATTTTTTTATATATTATATGTATTTGTATTGCCATGGCACTTCACCTGCAGGTAAAATAAAATAATCCTTAAACTCTTCACGAACCGTTTTGGCATTTTCCGAGCCATTGTGACAGTTTTTATTATTGAGTGGCAATAAATTATTTAATGGTAGTCCTTCTTCCCGCCACTGACCATTTAGAACACTTCCATTATCATTTTCTACATCAAACGTTCCTGCTGGTGCATAATGAGTTGTTGTTTGCATTCGCGACATAAAAAAATTGTGAAGAATACATATTGCCAACATAATCTTTGTAAATTTTCTGGGTATAAGCTGTATAGTTTTCTTAATACACGAAAACGATTTGCCATAATACCAAAAACATTTTCAATGATCCTTCTTGCACGGGACAGTCTGTAGTTAAATACGCGATTTGGTCCTGGTTGATTTCTAAATGGATATGGCTTAAGCAAATATGGTTTCATTGCAAATGCGTCGTCAGCTACAACAAGAAACGGCGACATATTTTCTCTTCCTGCAAGCTGCCTTGGAGGGGGCAAATTTATGGTATTATTTTCCAAAGATGTGGACAGAGAACAATTTTTGTAAACGCCACCGTCTGATATTCTGCCATTGCAACCAATATTTACATAAGTTAATTTGTACGTTGAATCAGCCAACGCCATTAAAAATATACTATGTGTGCCTCTATAATTAAAATAATAGCTTCCACTACAAGGTGGAGCTTGCATAACAATATGCTTGCCATCTAAGGAGCCCACACAGTTCGGGAAATTCCACATATTTTCAAAATCATTGGCAATGTCCATTCTGCTTGAGTATTTGGTACCTAAAAATGTAAGTAAGGTAAATATTTTTTTTCAGGTTCCAATAGCAAATGCTTCACAAACAGAAACGCAACATTCATCAATAGATAGAGAAAACATAATTCAAGAATCGCCAAAGATAGAACAAAATGGCTCTAAAAAGGCTGTAAAAAGAAAGAGTAAGGAAACTGAGGATGACGCTACTTTAGCTAAAGCTATTAAAGTTATGGAACGGCCTGTAGATGACTTTTAAATATTTGGAGATTATGTAGCATCAGAGCTCCGTTCCCTATGCTCCGATCACCTACAAACAAAACTGAAACGAGTGATACAAAGAGATATTTTGCAAGTTTTAGAGTTATCTGATCAGGAAGAAACTCATTCCTTATCAACAACACCGGTTTCGATCCCGCTTGTATCTCCAGTATATGACACATGTAGCTCAAATTCACAGTCTTCTCATACATTGCAGTCATGCAATAATACCTATTCTTCAACCAGGTACAATAATAAAAAAAAGTAAAAATACTTTGCATACCTTTAAATATTCCGTTTGTAGCACCTCGTGAATTGCCGTACAACACTGGGGAACAATCCTTGCGATTGTGCTTACAGGAATTCGATACAAGTACATAAGAGAATGATAGGACTCACCTAAAAAGAAACAAATACAGGAAGTTGATACTATCTTGTTTATGTTAATATGAAAATAAATATGTCTGAGCTTAAATTATTAATTTTAATGAACAAGTATTACCTGTTGCCAAAAAGCGAAGTGTTAAGGACAAACGTTCCTCCGGACTGATTGCCTTTCGCATTTTTGTATTCTTCCTGCTTATTTTGTCTCTCACTAAATTAAGCAAAAAATCAAAATATTCTGCCGACATTTGCAAAAAAAATTTGTTGCGTCGGATCTTCATCTCTCAATTCAGTAAGCAACTTGTCATGTATTCCTAGAGTAGTTCTACGCTGAATCCACTTTCTCATCCAACATTTTCTTCGCCTTTTCATATCTTTCTCTTGTTTTTGTTTCTTTTTATTAATTAAATATATCACAACTACCGCAGCAGCGACAGATTTTGCATACGACGACATTTTGTAAACATAGTGTAGAAGGAATCAGAACAATCAAGCCCAAGTGAAATTGCAAGACCAATTTCCTAGATTAAATTTGAGAACAATTAAAAAATAGTGTAGACAAACAAGCAAGTACTTGCTGCAAAAACTATCACAAGTTACTTGCAAGTGGACACAAGGCTTTAGGATTAATTCATGTATGTGTTGTTTCAGCAGCCCACCTCCAAATTTAATGTTTTTTTGGAATTATACCGTTATACCCTGCTGATTTTTGATCTTTCATGTTTTCAATTATTGTTTCTATTTCTTCCCTCACTGGCTCATCTATGTTATCTTCTACCTGCTCGTCTCTATACGGTCTCTCGTTTTCTTCTGTATCATCATCATTGTTGTACATTTCACAAAAGAATCCTCACCATCTTGCTTTAATTTCTTCATTCTGCAGTACCAAATTGCCGTCCCTGTCCTTAACAGTATTTATCCCTCCTATATACCCCTGCTAGCCTTTTTTGGCTTCTCCATAAAAATTTCTCATTTCCTTTCATCTAAAATATTCCTCCATGTTTTTAAACTCCTCCTGAATTCTTTTTCTTTTTGTCGCCCTTAATACTGACTTGGTATACCTTCTTTGCGATCTATAGGCTTCCATATATCTTGTCCATTTTGTGTACCAGCGCTTTCTGTCGTATTTTGTTCCTTTTTTCCAGTTCCTTATCACATTCATGATCCCACTAAATTTTCTTATTATATTTCATCTGTTTTTTAGGTACGTCTTTTTCTGTAACTTCTGGTACTATAGACTGTAGCATTCTCCATTCCTGATCAATCGCCATTTGCTCTTCCCTTTGTGATAGTATATGTAGCCCTCCTTCGATTGCGCTAATTTATTTCTCTCCCTAATCTCTTGATTCTTAAATTGCTGTGCCTTTTAATACTTCTCGAACTTTTATTCATATCACTAGGTATAGACAGAATATATTGATGGTTGTTATAAAGGTATCGCTTTTAAAAAATTAACAATAGACAAGTCGAAAGGTTCTAAATAACTTAACACTTAATCATTGAGTTTTCTAAACTGAAATTTCCTTAGAGCTCCAAATAAAGGGATTTACTTTTTTAATTGAAGTAAATTAGTTTCAAATAATACGTTTGTGCATCAAGACATTAATTTGTGATATTGTTTATGCGGAAAAACGATGGATAACAAGATACAGTACATATGACATCTTTGTAATTTTGTATAAAATGTTTTGTAAACGGTTTTTCAATCTTTCTGATGGGTAGGTGTTAATAAAAGTATTCTGTATTGCTAAACAGTTTACAGAGTTTATCTTACAATTCTTATAATTTTTCTCTTCCCAATTCTGGATTTTTCTTTCTTATATTTGTTCAACATCCGGATTTTAAGATACAATTTACAACTAAAAAATTTTCTTGGCATCTTCACTTACACTAACTGACGTGACTAAATCCATAAAAGATTTTAAATAATTTTTGGTCAATTTTAATGACCCCGCATAAAAATAGTCAAAGATACGTATATTAACGGATGCGCCATCTTTTATGTCGGTATTGAAACATCGAATGACTTTGATATTTACCAACCGTTTGATTTGGTTATACGTGTTTCTGAAACGTCGATTTACTACAATTTTAGTCATAGATCGCTTTACACAATGTACTCTGAAAATCGTAGTTCAGTTTGGTTTCGAATTTTCTTGAGTACGGGACAGTGGGAGATCGTCACCATACCGTTCATCAACGACCAAGACGTTCCAATGAATTGGTTGAAGCAGTCACAGTTAGCGTTGCCCAGAACCCAAAAGTGTCGTATCGTCACCGCGCTCAGCATTTTGGTATCAGTTGAATCGCGTTGCGAAGCATTTTGAATAATGATTTGCATTTTTTTTTTTCAATCAGGTGCAGTTAGCACAAAAAATATTGCCAACTGACCGTCCACGTCGCTTGGAATACGCCCAAACAGTCGCTCGCATAGTTGATGCTGAAGCTGATTTTTGAAAGCAAATTTTGATGACCGATAGGCCCATTTCACGCTCTCTGGCGACGTTAATAAGCAAAACTGCCGCATTTGGAGGACGGAAAATCCACGTGAGATCCAGGAAATGCCGTTGCATGATCGGAAAGTGACTGTTTGGGCCAGCGTTTGCGCCAAAACCATCATTAGGCCATTTTTCTTCAACGAAAACGAAACAGTCGATAGAAATCGAAATCGGTGGATGTTGGCTCATTATGTCTGCCACAAATGCGTGAAAAAGGTCTTGATGGTTATTGATTTCAACAAGACGGTGCGCCATGCCACACTGCAAACGAAACAATCCAGTTTCTGCAACGAAAATTCCCTGGACGTCTGATGTCAAAAAGAGGTGACATTGACTGGCCACCCAGGTCTCCAGATTTGACCCCACCGGACTTCTTGTGAGATTATTTGAAAAGTCAAGTGTATGCCAGCAAGCTCCAGACCACTGAAGAATTGAAGGCAAAAATTCGTACCGCAATCGCCGCTATACCACCAAAGATGCTCGGAAAAGTAATGAAAAATGCAGCAAAACGGGCACATTTTGTTTTGGCCAATAAAGGTGGCCACTTGATAGATGTTGTGTTCAAAAGCTAGTCCCAATAAATTTTAAAGGACCATGTTTAATAAAAATACCTGATATATAGAAATCAGTTTTTCGTTTTCAAAGTTATTTCATGTTTACATACCGACATAAAAGATGGCGCTCCCGTATATCTCGCTTTTCAAACTGAAATTTCTTTAGAGCACCTAGTTAAGCGACTTATTTTTTATTAAGGTAAACTGGTTTCAAATGCTGCGTTTGTGCATCAAAGGCATATATTTATTTGTTAAAGAAAAATACGGAATACAGTATACATATAGGTATGACATCTTTATAATTTTGTATAAAATATTATGGGCAGATGTTAGTAAAGTATTTTGTAATGGTAAAATATTTTATTGAGTTCACAATTTTCAACTTTTTTCAGTATCTGGCAGCAGCGGTGGCCGCCGTAGTCGGTCTCCTGATCAGTCGCCGTGCGCTGTGCGGGTTCCAATCACGTCCCAGGAGAAATTTTTCTCTTGGCTATGGCTGTTGTAATTGTCCGTAGGTGGTAGACGGTCTCTGGCTGTCGAACGCGGAGGTACCACCTTGCGGATATCGTAGGCGGAGCCAGAACGTGTGCATGTTGCATGCACACGTGTTCCCTCGCCAGAGTCCGTGTGGCGTTCCCCCTTTCCCCTGTATCCCCCTATAGCCCCACGGTACCCAATGGGTGTTTAGGCCTTCGTGGTAATTGGAGTATCAAAAAAGTATTAGCTAATCATTTTACCCCATAAGATAATTTCTTGACCTTTATTTAAACTGTAGAGCAGTGGGATGGTCATATAACCCTCAAATTGCTCGTATAGTGAAAAAAAAGCCTTCTAAGGGATGCTGATTCAAAATATTTGTTAATATTTTCTTTCTTTCAATAACAAGTTGCTATATAAAACTGAACGTTTCTGGGCAATTTTGTGACCAGATAACGTCACGTGTGCGAAAGAGATAGACTGATCGCATGCGCGTGGGTTTATATTATCGAGTAATTGTATCATGATCTGTCACCTCATGGTCGCTATCCCATGTGGGAATCATCCAACCGCCACCACTGTGTGCGTGTCTACGCCTTGTTTCCGCGATAGTCGTTCTTTTCAGTAGGCACTATCGTTGCCGCTCCCGCAATGATGCTCTGGCGTCATAAAGCGTCGATGGTCAGGCAGTTTGGGCCTGAGCAAAATGTATTGGCGGCTGACGGCAGTGTCGCGCCACGCTGATGTGCGATAATAAAGGTGGGCCGCCAGATCAGTGGGATTTTCAAATACATCTCGGATGTGATGGGCAGGATTTTGTAACTATTCTTAGAAAAAGTATTGTGACCAGCGCATTTCAGTGTAGCGGTTCGTAATTATTTACAAATCATTGGATTGGTCGCGGTGGGCCCCAAGAATGGCCACCAAGGTAGCCAGACCTCAACAGTTTAGATTTCTTTTTGTGGGGCTATCTTAAGACACCAGTATATACAAGTCCCATTAACACTGTAGAGGAATTAGGAGAAAGAATAGTTGCAGCTTATGATAGAATAAAAAACACTCTAGGAATATTTCAACGAATGCGCAATTCCCTGAGAAGGAGGGCGGAAGCATGCATACTAAATGAAGGGGGCCATTTTCAACAATTTTTGTAATCATTTCGTTGGTTTTAATGTTATGTTTATGTTGTCAGTTGTTGTTGTTCATTACCTCTAATGTATTTAATTTTTCCAATTAAATTAATAATAACTTTGCAAGTTAGACAATAGAACGGTTTTTATTTTTTTACTCACAATGGCGCATCGGAGGAAAACAATTCAAGAGAGATCATTTCTTTTAAATTAAACGGAGAATTCAATAATAATTTTTGTTTGACAAAAAACCACTGACATACCATATTTTTCGTAAAAAATATCGAAGTCAATACCCGTTCGCACGCCAAAAAGCTAAAAATTATTTTTGCATTAAAAAATATGCAACTTTATTAACTTTCACTACGTACTAAATATCAGTGAAATGTCTGAAACGTTTCTAAAAATATTAATTAATTTCCATTTTTTTTCCTAAAACTTCAACGCCCCAAGTTTTTATAAGGAAACATTTTTGGAGCATAGTTTATAAAACAAACTAACATTAATTTTTCATGTGGATTCACACTCTTAAATATTCGCATATCATTAAGGAACATCCTGTATACATTTTTTTGTGTTATCGATTGTACGTGATCATTTTAATATTATATAGAATGTTTTATTTGTATTTTGATGTTTTTCCAATACAGTTTAATGAAGTACCTATATCATTGCCGTTGTAAACTTATCATCTTTGAAAAATTGACAATACATAAGTTGAAATGTTCTAAATAACTTAAGACTTGATCATTTAAAATGCGCTTGTAGCTTTCCAAACTGAAATTCCTTTAGAGATTAACTGTTCTTACAGAAAAACGATCGAGAACAGGATACGTTACATATGACATCTTCATAATTTTGTATAAAATGTTAGATATGCGTTAATGTTTTTTTAGTATTTTTGTTGGGTATGTGTTAATAAATGTATTTTATATGCGTAATCAGTTTTATTGAGTTTAGTTTACAATTTTTATCTTCCCAATTCTGTTTTTTTCCCTAGATTTACATCTAAAAAGGGATGCTTGGTATCCGTAATTACACTAACTGTCGTGGCTAGATCCATTAACCATTTTAAACAATTTTCGATCAATTTTACTAATCTTGCGTTGAAATTGTCGAAAATATAGTCTAGTTTAATTAGAAAACTTGTTTGTTCTTTGGAAAAGTGAAGAAACG